TAACATATCTCACTCTCGGCAGGAGCGACACGCATTTTCATCGCAGTGGTGTCAAACGCGCGCTCCCGAGGTGTCAACAGTTTCACAAGCCTCACAGCAGCTCTGCTCCTTCATCCTCGAAGAAGGTTTTCTGAATTAATACTGCAGCTCGTGGAATCAATCAAAAGCTCACGTGATTCGCAGCCAAGAATGAACGTGTTCTGCAGAACGAGCCCAGTGGTAACCTCGCCCCACCGATGCCACGCACTGCTTCCTGACTACACCAGCGTCAAACGCGCACTCCCGCGGCAATCCTCGCTTAAGACGTAGCATGAATGAGGGCGCGCACACACGACTCTTCAGGGCACGTCGGCTCATATGTACACCCGCTCCCCGAGCGTTTACACGGAGCAGCTGCACACAACGTGAGCACAACACAAATGAGCCGCATCCCGCAGCATCAGCAAACGCGCAAACGATTTGCATGCTCGGGGGCGCGCGTTTTTTCTTTCTCCTTCAGCGCGCACCAGCTCATATCAGCATGCATGTGAGTTCACAGCATAAATGCGTGCCCGCTTTATAACTTTATGAACGAGTGGCAATGAGCGCGCGCTCCAGACGGATAGGAGAACCGTTTTCATCCGGGGATTCACGCTGCAGTACAGTTCAAACCCTGGTGCGGAGGAACTCTAGTGACATTTTCTGTCATTTCTAGAACAGATCTCGTCCCCTCTCGCAGAAGCTCAGGAAATTCTGATTAAAATGTAATTTCCAGAGTCTCAGAAGGAGAGGAAAACGCAGGGTTCCTCTCTCGTCACTCCCTGGTCCCAACAAACCGGAAAGATGAGATTTATTCTAGATTTGTCAATTTTGAACTATGAGAAACAACATTCCATTAATGCGTCCGAGCCGCTCTGCAGCCGCCGCACAAAGCAGGGAGGAGAATTCTGCTTTATCTGGACATCTGCTGCTGCTGAGCAGTTTGTACAGACAGGTGGCAGCAGTGCAACTCACGTGAACCGGTTGAGTGATATCAGCTGTTTTTCGTCAGCAGACCTACGTCACACGTCAGACTTCACAGCAGCTCATTTAAATGTTTTTGGAGTGTCGCATGGGGTTTTTGAATGTGATTCAACACTTTGCCTCTGTGCTGCGGAATCATCAGGGTTTTTGATTCACACAGACAGCAAGTGACTGTTGCATACATAAATGGCAGGAGATGTATGTGCTCAACCCACGTGCCACATTGTGAGACAGATGCTGTGTGGGGCTCACCCAATCTGCTCTCCATTGGAGTAGAGTACATCTCCTGTGTTCTGAACAGGGGACGGATGTGATGTCCAAAGGTGGTCCTTTGCGGCACAGGGACCGGGGACCGGGGACCTTCCATTTAGAGCTATGGCTCAGACGTGGCAGAAATCCTACGAGCAGCTGTGGACCTGTTCCAACACGAGAGAACGCTCGATGTCAACTATAATTATCATGGAGCCACGGGACAATTCACCGCTAGGGGTGGACGTGACTGCTCACAGCCTGTGGTCGTAATGCTTCTTCACCTCCCTCTCTCCCTCTGATATCACGGTTTTCTGAACCGAGCTCAGGAGGAGGGACTGACAGCTCCTCTGTCCCACGTGCGTGAATGTATCATGGTTCCCAGTCCTATGACACTTGTTATCGGGGTGCTCGTGGAACCTGCCGTGGAGGGAGGTCGCTCTCCTTCAGGCGGGAGGAGCGATCAGGAGTTAATCAGAATAGGCCAGCACCTGTGGTCTGGCCGTTGTGCGGATCCTTTTGAGAGGATGGATCTCTCAAGATGTAGTGCGTACGATTCAGGATTCACGTGCTGCAACCACCACTGCGCTGTTCACATCAAGTGGTCAGTTTTTCAGCGCTGCTGTACAGAGAAAGGTGTAGAGGCCATTTCATGTTCACTAGGTGGTGTGCCGTCCTTTCTACAGCAGCTGATAGACAGAGATCTGGCGTTTAGCTCGAGTAAATGTTCACTGCGGCCATCTCTTCCTGTCATGAAAATTTTGAGACAGAACAGCTTTAATCATCCGCTGATGAAGCGTTTTGTAAAAGGTGTACAGCGAAGACGTAGAGGCCACTTCATGGCCACTGGACGACATGTTTTCCTTTTCTGCAGCAGTCGATGGACAGAAATCTGGCGTTCAGCACGATTATCGCATGCTACAGCCATGTTTTCTTCTTGTCTCAAAGTTGTCGGAGACAGAACAATCTTTAATCATCGTCTGACAGAGCATTTTGACTCAGATTGAAATAGCAGCTGGGGACCTATTTGCGACACGAGAAAACGCTCAGTGTCAATTATGGTTTTCCCTGAGCCCGCGAGACGAACCACCACTGGGGGTGGATGCGTTTGCCCACAGCCCATGGCCCAAAATGCTTCTGTACGCGTTTTCCTCCACCTCCTCTGATTTTACGGTTTCTGAACTGAGTTCAGGAGGAGGGATTGACAGCTCTCCTGGTGGTCTCCGAACGCATGAACGCACCATGGTTCCCAGTCCTACAACGCCTGCTGTCGGGGCGCCCGTGGAAACTGCCGTGGAGGGACGATGCTCTCCTCCAGGCAGGAGGAGCGATCAGGAGTTACCCAGAAATAGGCCAGCACCTGTGGTCTGGCCACTGAGCAGATCCGCTTAGAGAGGATGGGTCTCCCACAGGATGTAGTGCGCACAATTCAGGTTTCACGTGCTACATCTACCACAGCGCTGTACACATCAAAGCGGACAGATTTTCAGCGCTGGTTTACAGAGAAGGGTGTAGAGGCCACCTCATGTCCACTAGGTGGCATGCTGTCCTTTCTACAACAGCTGATGGACAGAAATTTGGCGTACAGCACAATTAAAATGTACGCTGCAGCCATCTCTTCCTGCCACAAAGGGTTCGGAGACAGAACAGTTTTAATCATCCACTGATGAAACGTTTTCTAAAAGGTGTACAGAGACGCAGGCCTGTTTCACGCCCACTTGTTCCACAGTGGGATTTAACGCTGGTCCTGCAAGCTCTGATCAAAGCTCCATTTGAGCCTCTGGATCAGGTTCCACTTAAATTCTTGTCTCTTAAAACAGCCCTGCTGCTGGCTTTAACATCTGCTAAGAGAGTGAGTTATTTATCTGCCCTCTCTTTCGCGTCGTCATGTCTCAGAATTCAGGCTGATGGCAGCTCAGCTGATTTAAGACCAAACCCAGCGTTTATGCCTAAAAACATCACAAGCTCTTTTAAATCAAGAGTGATATCGTTGGAGGGGTTCGGGGGGTTCCCCCCCCCCCCCCCACAGATCAGAAGAAGAAGCATTTTTCCACCTTCTCTTTCCGGTGCGGGCGTTGACATGTTACACAGCGCGCAAAGCTGCAATGCGTCAAACTCAACATTTGTTTGTGCATTATAGAGATGCATCCGCAGGTCGCCCGTTATTCACCCAGCGCCTGTCACACTGGTTGTGTGAGGCCATTTCTCAAGCCTACAGAGCATCAGATTTAGAGCCTCCTGTCAACCTCAGAGCACACTCGACCAGAGGTATTGCATCTTCGACTGCCTTGCATAATGGTATGACAATGCAGGACATTTGCACTGCGGCTGAGTGGTCAACACCCTGCTCATTCATTCACTTTTATCTACGTGATGTGACGACTCATCCCATGACACATTCTGCCCTTAGTGTTTTACAGAATGAATATTGTTGTTTCATGGAACTCCGTTTAAACTCACATCTGACTGCATGCATTTACAGTGTGAGATGTTGTTATCAATCTCAAGTTGTGATTGTTATTTTGGTTCTATTGTCACTAATCAGTTCATGACTATTGTTACCAATCAGTTCATTTGATTAATAATCAGCTCTCCTGTTATTATTAATCTGTTCATACTGTTCAGCCGTAAACCAGTTGGTTCATGGCTCTTTTCAGCTTTTTTTCCCTCCCCGTTAAAGTTTTCCGGGGCGTTCATGCATTCAGAATGCATAGTTACACAACATGCTTCTGTGCATGGCACACATAATTACGCAATGCGTAATTACGCACATGGGAAGCTGATTGACAAGACGTTTTTTTGGGCAAGCTGCTGCTTCATACGGTGTTCGAATGGACCCAGTGAGGCGAGGACAACATCCGCTTCGCCCTTAGCCCATCAGTGACAGCTCTTAAAGGGCGAAGCCTATACGAAATAGAACGTTGGTTACGTACTGTAACCCCAGATTCTATGAGTATAGGCGTAGTCCTTTAAGCGTCGGGCCTCACTGGCTCCTAAATGGCTGAAGAAAAAGCTATTTGGGAGCCGATTACCCACTCTTAACGTAATTTATACGGACCGGGTGGGGCCCACACAGCAGGTGGGCGTGGACTAAATTTTTCAGTGCAATGCTTCACATATCGGGATAAACCCATCAGCGACAGCTCTTAAAGGGCTACGCCTATACTCATAGAATCTGGGGTTACAGTACGTAACCAACGTTTTCTGTTGATCGATTCTCGCAGAATGTGTACCGGTGAGGGCACAGATTGTAGTGTAAAGCACTTTGAGTATCTTGATAAGATAGAAAAGTACTCTATAAGTGCAGTCCATTTCATTTATTTTTCCCAATTTATAAGCTTTCTTTTTTGATTGTCTACTCTTGTCATCATTCTATGTTAAAAACAGTCTCTTGTAAATGAGTCCTCCAAGCTCAATGAGACTAACCTGCATAAATAAAGGTTGAATGAATGAATCAGTCTTTTACTAATTATTTACAAAGAGAAAAAAAAAACATTCTTATGATCTATGATCACTCACCGTTTGAATTCTTCACCACTTGCTGAGGATTTGGCTCAAAGTTGATTCCCAACCCAAGGCGGCAACTTTTACAAGGTTCACTCCAAAAATCTACAAGTTGTAAACGTGCATCCAATGGTTACTTTTTATAGTTTATTAAAAAGTGTTCAGCAGTTCATGAGATATTTTGCAAACGGACAGACAAACCAACAGACACAAAACAATAATAAAGATCTCCTGTCTGTTCGCAGGTCATCTGCAGCAGGTGGACATGTGCAGCTTCTCGTCTTACGGTGAGTTAGTGCGTTTTGGCTTCTCTGCCATGTTTGGTTTTGGTGGGCGGAGCTTAGCATGTGCAGAGAAGAAAAGATGGATGCCATCGTCACAGAGACGGGAATACGCTCTGGTGAAGACACTAGCCAGACTTAGGTAACATAAAAGTTTTGTTCATTTGTTTTTTTTTTTATTAATAATTGAGGGGTGTTTTTGTTGTTCTAGTTTTCACACGTACACAGAACAAATTAAGATTATTTTTAACTCTCCTGCTGCCTTTTGGTTAAAATGACCCACGTGGTCTCAGTTTTAAAACTGAGGCCTAGGTCTTGTGGGTCAGATAAGCTCCTTATCCACAGGGCCGGTTCTTGTTGGACCCTGTTGTGTCCGGTTCTGGTGGGACGTCTTTTTTTCTGTCTCCACAGTGCCCATAGTTCCCGTTTAGTGGGCGGATTGTTCACCTGTAGTGGGCAGATTACTAATATCAACGCACCTTACCAGCTGGTGGCGCTAATGCTACATTAAGCTCTTTTCTAAGCACCACTAACATGTATTAGAAGAAGAAGGAGAGCCGAAAAACAACACACAACCAAAATGGATGACCTCCTTGATCTCTGCCCTCCGCCAATGAATACGCCCCCAATCAGTGACCAACAGTGCGCTGATGTCATCTAGACCCGACAAGAACCAGACCTGGGACCTCAGAGAAGTAGGTCCCAAAAATGGGGTGGGTTCCGCCGCTGAAGGCATTGTGGATAAACCATGCAATCGGCCCAAACTAGTTACATAGAAGCCCCAAAAGGCCCTGTGGATAAGGGGCTTGCAGGGCCTCAGAAGGGTTAAGTGATATTTTCTCATGACCTATGATACATATGACTTGTAGTTCACCTAAATTATATATGTGCTAATCTAACAAGCATCAAGCATACACATGTCATGTAGTAATCATCTTGTTAGCTGTCAGTATTGCTTTTTATTATTTTTTTTTTATTATTATTCTTGTCTCTATTAGACCAGAAGACTGTCAGCTGTCTTTTTTACCTGCAATAAAACCAAATCTAAGTTTGTCTGGACATCGGTGAGAAACACGTTCATACATTTTGTTACAAGTACAGATTAAATGAATGAAAATATAAGTTATTTACTGAGACTTTAAAACTGCATACTAGCAAAGTTATTGAGAGTTAGACTTCCTTTTTTTCTCATCATCTGATCACACAAAGTTCATCTGAGTGAATATTAATTTAAATTTATCCTAATTGTTGACAGTAATGAATTCATGGTTTTGGCTGGTAAAGCAAAACATAACAAAGCAAACCCTTTTTCATGTAAACACATTTTTTCTTTTTGATTTATTAGGCTTTCTACTTTCAGGTTTATGGGCCAAATGTTTGGTTTCATTTCTGAGTCAGATATTCAGTTTCTTAGTTGTTTTCTTTTTTTTTTAGTGTATTGAAAAATGTTAACAAAAATTTGCCCTCCTCTTCTAGAGATCAAGATAAAAAAAAGGATCCCAAGTCAGGTGAGCATGACCTTTTTTGTCTTTAGATGGACACCATAGTACTGACCTGGTCAAACTTCCAACTCTTTTAAACTGTCTGTTTATTTAAATGTCGATACAGAGGGGGAGGAAAACTGGACAACCAATCATGGCCTGTATTTGAATATCAGTGTCATGTGCATCCCCTGTCTGAGCCCCCATGCACCCCGAGGCCTGGCACCAAACACCAGGTATTCAGTGAATTCAGTTCTATGAAATCCCACCACAGATTAACTGATGATGTTCTGATAGCACCTATCACTACTTCCTGTTTGTGACAGTTTGGCCAATGGCAGTGCGTTGCTGGTCGCAGTAGGGAATACATCCAGGTCAGAGTTCGTCAAACACCTCAAGAGATACAGCAGCTCCAGTGGGCAGGTGAGAACCACCAAGAATCAACGCTGGTGATTATCACTGGATCGACCTTCAGTTTTATATTTTAGTCCCAGTTCATCACCTACAAGCTTCTTGTCAGAAACACTTGGTGTCACATTGTGTTGTTTTGTGTATTCGCTGTGCCCTTTTGTTTGTGGTCTGTTCTCTTGGAATGTTTCTGGTTTTCTGATCACAACCACAGGACAAAGCAGTGCAAAACTGGAAAAACAGTGGTCTTAAACCAAAACTTTGATGATTTGTTCCCCCTTCATGCCTTGCTCCCTCCAGGTCCAGGGTGAGTCTTTGCCTCAGGTAGAGGAGTTCAGGTATCTGGGAGTGTTGCTCACAAGTGAGAGCAGGATAGACTGGGAGACGAATTGTTGGCAGTAATGAGGGTGTTGCTCCAGTCTGACATACAAAAGAAGGAGCTGAGTTGAAAGACTAAGGTCTTGATTTGATGGTTCATTAGATCTCAACCCTCACTTTGGTCATGACATGCTGATCATGATGGAATAAATGAGTTCCCAGATACAACCCTCTTCCACAGGGTAGCCGAGTTCAGCCTTAGACATAGGAAGAGGTTCAATTTTTTTATTTTTTTAAGAGCCACTGTTCCTCCTCCTCAAAAAGTGACCTGAGCTGGTTTGGTCATCAAATTAGGATGTCTTTTTCCAGGCATGCCCCACGGAAGAGACCCTGGGACACACCCAAAACTTAACATTTTTATTCTTTTTTTTTTCTGACATTAAAGTCCAGTTGTTTTTGTCTTGAACTTTTTTATTTTATTTACCATGACCTGGATGACTGAGAATCTTCAGCATATTCTGAAATTTCAAATAAAAAAATGGAAACAAGGTGTATCCACAGACACATTGATTTACTAGTAGAGTGATCTTTGATCTTAAGACACACAAAGGAGAAAAAAACAAGCTGGAGTAGATTAACCTGGTTCAGCATAGCCTGCTTTAGCCTCAGAGACTGCACACTAACCCACTTTCTAAATTTACTGACAGTTTGTTGTCTACTGACCTGTAGACTTAAAAGGACAGTGAACTGACTGACCCACATTTTGTTAGCCTTTATGCTAATGACAAACAGCAAGCTGAGAGACAGGTGAAGCGTTTGATAAATGTTTTTATTCAGATTTTTACTTTGTTATTCCTTTCTGGGTCATGGGGGAACTGGTGCTAATCTTTAGCAGTCACCCTGTGAGAGGCGGGGGACACTCAGGTCTCGAGTCCATCACAGGGACACAGAGACAACAGTCCATCACAGGGACACAGAGACAACAGTCCATCACAGGGACACAGAGACAAAAGTCCATCACAGGGACACAGAGACAAACACCCGTTCACTCACACTTAGAGACCATTTAGAGTTACCGATCAGTCTAACATGCATGGTTTTAGTCTGTGGGAGGGAAAGCAGAGTACCTGATGAAAACCCATGTGTGCATAGAGAAAACGTGCAAACTCCACCCAGAAAGACTGGGAGGCAAACCTGTGACCTTCTTGTTGTGAAGCAAATACTTTAACAACTGTGTCACAATGCTAACCAGGAACGTTTTTAATTATCTCTAAAATTAATTAAATTAAATTAAAATAAAGTCCTGTTTGACCCAAAAAAAGAAATGTCAGACAACAAGGGTGCAAAATGCAGCGATCCCACTAAACATTTTTCAAGTAAACCACTAGAGTAAACTTTGTATGTTTTGCTGCAGGATTGCTGCTCTAGAATACATTAAAATAATTAATAGATGAACAGCTTTATTTAAAGAGTTCAAACCTGCAGAAAGGCCCATCTGATGGTCATGCTGATGGAAGGACACAACGTAGGTCTTTGCTGCTCCCTCTTGGAGCTTCACGGTGTTACAGTTAGGGGCAGTAAAGAGAATGAACTCAGTCACAACCTGCTTAATAAAGATTTAACAGCTGCTCTGTTCCTCAGCTGAGCTCTGACACACACAATGACCTCATATTGTTTGCAGTTTAACTTCCCCTTTGTGGAGACGCACTCCGTCTCAGCAGTAAAAGTTTGCCCCTTCTCACTGGTTGACTGTTCTGAGGAAGAGCGTGAAGAAAAGAGAGACGCCAAAGATACGCCCATCATCAGATCAGAGGGCATGACCTTCCCCTGGAACATTGATGGAGAGCTAGTGGAGATCGCAAGTGAAGTGCTCATCAGGTGAGACACACACGTTGGAGATGGCACTGCCAGAAATTTAGGACTGTCGTTTCAAGTAAACATTTATGTTTATTATTGATTGATCAAAACTTGATGGATTTTTACAGTTGAATCCAAAAACGAGCATTTCAGAGTCAGTCAGAGTCAGAGTTTCTTTATTGTCATTCGCACCTCATGTGGTACATGTAGTGGAGCGAAATTATGTACACGGGGTCCCAGTTACATCCAACAATAAAATGTCTAAGAAAAACAGTAATAACATCTAAGATATGAACTAAGAAAAACATCAACTAAATATTCACTTGTATGATGAAGGAATAAAGGAAACCAAGATCTTTATGAAAACATTAAACATGTTTTTTTTTTTTTTTTGCACAAAGCATCTCTTTTAAAATGAAACACACACACACACACACACACACACACACACACA